AAGCACAATACTTGAAAATAAGTGATCTAACTCCGCCTGAGAATAACCTTCCTTACGTAAGGATCTTAATATAAACAAGCACTTATTCGCCTTAAGGGAATTCTCAGGCTAAGGTGGATGCGAAACTGAAACTGATAAGACTAGTTAAGCCTGGATCATTGCATAATAATTGGAATTTAATCAATGTGTCTTATCTGCTGTTCTTCGAATGCATATCTTTATCTTTTGTTCAACAAATTACAGTTGACATGCAGCGAAGGTCATGCGTGATTTTCTCCCATGTTTTGACATGCTGTGGATGCCTCTACGTTTTAAAACGACAAATCACCCCATTACTTTTAGTACATGGTATAACATAACAGAAAGTACACTGATTAGGTCGCAGCCATAACAAGCCGACGTAGTTTTATCGTTCAAGCCATATTTCCTAGCACACTATAATTACTATGTCTGTGTTCTTTTTTAGGGGTTTCTTTATTATTATTCTTATGCCTTTGGTCTATGTATATGCTCGTAAATATATCTCGTGCTTTTGATTTGTGTACGCTGTTTACTTTATAATAGTATAAATCAGGACTGCCAACTCACTCACAACTGATGATAATCACTGCATGGTCCAAACACGCCGTGCTTTAAATTAAAAGGGAATGTCTAGTGTTTTTTTTTTATTGAACTGAACACTTTTTGAGCCCATGTACATTAGAAAATCGCATATCTCAACGAATATGAGGGAAAAAGTGATTTTGTGAAGGAAGTTTGAAAGAACCTTCCTGTAGAAATTCTGTGAAAATTGCTTCGGCTGCTATAACCACGAGATAATTTTGTGTGCTCATTGAATTATAGGTAAGTTAAACTTTTAATCTCATTCTTTATTGCTTTCTGCTACTTTTATATAAAAACGCTGAATCTGTGTATGTTGAGTTTGTTAGGACAGTGTAATATTCCAATGGCGACATTCATTTGATTTCATGCAGGAGGTTCACGGAAAGATAACCGATTTTACCATGGCTGGTTACTGAAAGTCATTTGATTTTATGATGACAGTTTACTGAAAGCCGTATTTTTATGAAAGGACAGTTAAATGAAAGTTTATCGAAGTTACCAAAATCTTTATTGGGTTTTCAGGGGGGCAGTTTTTTGAGTAAGGTTTTTGACACGTGTGAATAGTATTGGTTGAATCATCCTGCCCAAAATGTATTTCTCTTTTTTCCTGTGTAAAGCGTGTTCAGAAGCAATGGGTATGGAGAACGGACAGATAGGCGACACTCAGATCACTGACTCTGGAAATATAGCAGCTCAGGGAAGACTGAACTTTAAAACAGGATCGTCAGTAAATCAGTGGCTCCAGGTGGATCTTAAAAAGTTCAGAGTTGTGACAGGGATTGCCACACAAGGACGAAGTGACTACCCTCAGTGGGTTACCTACTACGAGCTTCTATACAGCGAGGATGGCGTTACCTTTGTTCATTACAAAGAACCGGGACAAAGCCTACCAAAGGTAAGCTATGTTCAAAACTAAATTTCACATCTTGTTCACGTACCTTCGAGTGCCATCTTAGGCCCTGTTTACAAGCAGGTAGGGTAACCCTAGTGCTAGGGTTACCCTGGCAGGAGGGTTACCCTAACGCTCCCACATTTCTTCTTTTTTTTCATGGACGTGTTTACGAGGCAGCTAGGGTTACCCTAGCACTAGGGTAACCTTAGCTGAGCGCTAGGGTTAACCTAGCGTCAGGGTAACCCTAGCTGCCTTGTAAACGCTCTGCTGGGGATAACTCGCCTACCCGGGACAACTTTTTACTAGTTCTCAGACCCTTTGAACATTGATAACAACGCGTGCGGCTACCAAGCATAGGAAAGTTGTCCCGCGGGTGGAAGGGGAAACCTACCTGTGAAATTTTGCTTGTAAACCCGGGCTATCTTTAACCCGCCTGCTAGGGTAACCCTAGCACAAGGGTTACCCTCCTTGCTTGTAGACAGGGCCTTAATTTCAATCAAGGGCTTCTTTGTAAATTCATCAATTCATCTACTAACTGACTTCTGTTGAGATACTTTCATAAAACGCCCCCAGTTGTGGAGGTCAAACTAGTTAGTCACCAAATGGAAACTCGTCAAGATGGTTTAAACCTAAATCACTTCAAACTTCGAATTTATACACCACTGAACTAAATGCTAAATATAAACGAATGACCATATTACCCTATTTTAACTAAATACTTCATAACGGTATAACAATATGGTAAAGAAACCTCTGAATGTCGAGGATCGCATTTTGACAAGAAGTAGAGTAGGTTTAATCTTCATTTTCCCGAATTCGTTTTTATAGCGATTCATTTACCGGAACTTTTTAAAATTTGCAAATAAGCCGATGTTTAGATCAAGCCCTGTACCCACTGACATCAGTAAGCACACTAAATATAGCCATGACTGATATAAACAAGAAACGGTTAGAGACAGAAGGTATATTTCTCATTTTGCTTAGATATCTTAATTACTGCTCGGTCTTTCTGCGGCATTTGACACGATCGACGATGGTTTATTACTTCAGAGACTTAATAATCGGTTTGGTTTCAAGGGCAAGGTTAAGTTATTGCTCACAGAACGAAGTCAATTTGTTACCATAAATGGATCAAATTCCTCTCACTCTGATCTGAGGTTGGAGTTCCCCAGGGATCTGTTCTAGGTCCGATTTTGTATTTATTTTATACGTCTCCTCTCGGCGACATTATAAGAAGGCATGAAATGAACTTCCGTTTTTACGCGGATGACTGTTAGGTTTAATTTTCGCTTGACTCGGTTTCATTAGTTACTACTACGAGAATCGAAGCCTGTCTACAAGATATTGCTACTTGGATGTCATTGAACACTCTTAAACTTAACCGTGATGAGACTGAGCTATAAGTCATTGGATCGTGAAATCTGTCGGATTCTCAGCTTCCTTCTTTTACAGGGATTGATGGATCTGTTATACAGCCTTCGCCCTCTTCCAGGAACATAGGTGTAATCTTTGATAATAAGTTAAATATGAAAGGTCAAGTTTCTGCTATTTGTAAATCTGCATTTTTTCACATCCAGGATATTTCTCGGATTAGTAAGTTTTTGTCAGTTAGTAGTGCTAAGGCTTTAGTACACGCCTTCGCTACATGCAGATTAGACAACTGTAATTTTCTGTTTTATGGTCTTCCGAAACACTTCGTTCATAAATTGCAATTAGCCCAGAATTGTGCGGCACGGGTAATCTTATGTGGTCGCAGGCATGATCACGTTACTCCTTTACTAGGGGAACTGCACTGGCTCCCCGTGGAGTAGAAGATTACTTTTCAATCTTATTTTTTTACTTTTAAGCTTTAATTAATTTATGCCCTAGTTATATCAGTGACTTGTTAGAAACTTATAAGCCTACTTGGTCTTTACAATCATCGAGTAGGAACTTGTTAGTGATTCCTCGCTCCAAGTTGAAATCTTACGGCGATCGCGCCTCAGTTTCTGTCTCTGCACCTAAGCTGGGGAATGACATTCCTGAAACCACAAAATGTAGTAGAGATCTTAAGGCTTTTAAGCGTAATCTTAAAACTTATCTTTTTAAGCGTTATTTTAATTAAGGATTATGCTTCATTATTATTTTTACTCTCTACTTTGATTGTGAAGCGCCTTAAAGCTTTT